AGAATCCCTAACCTTGCAGAGAGAGGTCATTTGGCCCATCAGGTCTGCACCGACCCTCCAAAGAGCATCCCACCCAGTCCCAGCCGCAGCACTCCCCAACCTATTCTCATAACTCTACATTTACCATGGCTAACCCACCTAGCCTACATGTCTCTGTGACACTATGAGCCAACTTAGCATGGCCAATCCAGTTAACCTGCACATCTTTGGAGCGCGGGAGGAACCGGAGCACCGGCAGGAAACCCATGCAGAGACAGGGAGAATGTGCAAACTCCACACAGACAGTTGCCCGAGGTCGGAATTGAACCTGGATCTCTGGTGCTGTGACAGAGTGCCAACCATTGTGCCACTATGCTGTCCATTCCACCCATTTACATTTGCGTATATACATTTTGGATCTCATGTGGCTGATTAAGTTGGAGGGGGAAGATTTCTTGTTTGTTTCAATAGCAAAATTATAAATGGGGTCTGCTGCAAAGGTAAGGTTAATTTTGTTTTAAAAACACAGAGGACATTGTGGACATATCAAATTGACAATTTTTTGGAAGGAAGGAATTATCCATTATTTGATTGCCCATGAAAGTTAAGTGAAAATAATGTAACTAAACATAAGTTAAGAATTTTTCAAGCCTTAAAGGAAAGTTCAGTTTTGTTTTGTGTGACTACACATGCCAAAGCAACAGTATCATATAGTCAGAAGAATTGTTAAGCAGAAGTAATTCCTTTCAAATGTCATATGTAACAGTAACAGATCAAAAGCAAGTAAAATTTACATTAATATAACATCTTAACACATTTCTTATAAACCTTGCCAAAACTTTTCTTGTACAATGAACTGCTTAGTAATACAACTTTTGTTAGATAATTAAATGAGTTGATTTGTGCACAAGACCTCAAACAGCAATTAATAGCTTAATGTGGTCTTACAGGTTCTGGCTGAGAGAAGAATGTTGGCTAAACACCATATTGCAATCTTAACTTCTACTGGAACTAGACAAATAGAGCTACATTTTAAATCTTAACCAAAGATGACAATTTGAGTAATGCAACACTCCTTTTTGCAGTCTTGGAATATGCACCTAAAGCTCAAGCAGCATTGAATCCAGAAACAAGAATGCTATTAACTGAACAAGGATTGAACTAAAACTCTGAACATGGCTAATGAAATATCAGGTCACAGGAAGTAATACGGAATGATAAATCAGAATATTTCACTTATTTGTATGGCAGTTTATACAAGTAATAGTGTGGATTTTCATTTACCTCCCAAAGGACTTTATGATCAAAGGGAAATGACCAGAGATTAGGATATAGCTTGCAAATGAGCCGATATTTTTCCAGGTAGCTGCATTACTTTTTGCTGCTGATCTTGAATGATGCTGTTTCATGCCAGGATGATCTGATGAGAAACAAGACAGTCACAAGTCACAGTTGTGCATTATTCCCAGAGGAGATTTACTGCCTGAAATATTGTGCTTTTGATTTGATAAAACAACACCGAGTGGGTTTCATAAGAGACACACGTCAAGCTCCTGAGACCATCTGCTCCAGGGTGGTTGCATCCTCTTTCTCTCCATTCTCATCTTTTTCTTTCCTTCATTTTCTGACATTGTGGGGAAGCCGTAGCCGTGCTCGGCAGGTCGTCAGCTGTGGTAGTGCCTGGAGTGAGGACTCTTGGCCCCAGGAGGCCCACAGCGTGGACTCATTGGCTGCTGTGCCCTCAGTGGGGACTCCTGGCTGCAGTAGGCCTGAAGTGCGGGCACGCCTTGTGGCCCAGGACACCTCAGAGACATTGCAGAAGCCCTGGAGCTGTGTTTGAAGACTCCTTGTGCAGAAGATGAACTCTATCCATGTAATTTCTTTTTATTTTTGTAACTCAAAATGGCACTGGATTGTGGTGACAAAACACTTTTCACTGTATCTTTTTTAGATATGAGACAATAAATAAATAAATAGAATGCCATGAATAATGGAAAATCAACCTTTGAATGATGCCATAGATTGTAATTCTCGAATGATATAATGATGAGATAATTACATCGACAGTGTCATGAATTTGTTTTGCTATGATTCACTGCACCTTGACGTAATTCTATTTTTACTGAACAGTGCATTTGTTTAGTTACACAAACTAATCTCCGATGTTATTCAAGAGCTGCCTGGGGTCTGGTGCTGTTATGGTGGCTAACCATTAGCCTGCCAACTCCCTTTAAAGCCTTTGCTCGGGTACCCCACCCCTTGGACATTTCATGGATAGGTGGAAAGAGGACAAATTTGATCTAAAATCAGTCAAAATTTGGTAGTATCTCCAGTTGATATTTTGTATAAGGTGTGATATCTAAAATCTCATAGAAACTCTCAAGGCATTTATACAAATACGTTTGAAAGAAAACAAGAACATTCTTGTCATGATTTCAGATATCTCAAAACATTTTACTTTCAATTGTGTACATTCAAATTGTAGTCATTGTTATAATGCTGGTGATGTGGTAACCAATCTTCAGACAGCAAGGTCCTACAAAAAGCAATGAGAAAGTAATTCATTTCTAGTGATACTGATTGAGTGATAAATACCAATAAGGATATGAGTCAGAATTCCACAACTTCAGTATAGAACCCTAAGATGTTTGACAAACAGAGTGCAAACACAAAAAGCTTAATGTTCCATCTGAAAATCAGCACCACCAACCACAAAGCACTCCATCAGCATGGCGCTTAAAATGTTAAACTTGATTTTGCTCTAAATTTTCTGAGATGAGACCTGAACCCACAACCATGTAGCACACAGATTAGAAAGCTTCCAACAGCAGGCTGAAGAAAGGAAGGATACACAAAAGGTCAGGATCAGACAAGTGGGTAGTTTGGTGTTTGAAAGAAAGAGAATTGGCATTTATATTGTGATTTTTCACACCAGGATGCTGTAAAGAGTTTTCCAGCCAACAAAATACTTTTGAAGCATAGTCACAGCTGTAATGTGGGAAGAATGGCAATGTGCTGTCAGCTGGACTCCATGAACTATGTGATAGTAATCAGGTATTTTGTCTTGTTGCTGCTGCTTAAAGGATACAGATTGGCTGCATGAGACAAGCTCTCCTCTGACATGAGATATTTTACATCAAACTGAGAACAGGGATGAGAATTTTAAATTTGAGGTAATGGGAATAGGGAATAACAACACTGGTCAGCAAACACAGGCATAAAAGCTTTGAATGAGCTTACATTTACAAAGGATGCAAAGATAAGGGGCCAGCTAGCTTTAAAAGGCCTAAATTAAAGGCATGAATGAGTGTCTCAGCATCAATTTGATTTAGACAAGCGTAGAAACAGACTATGGTAGAAGTTTACCCAAGGCCATGAAGCAGTTTTATTGGGTTGGGGTGGGACTCATGGGGAATGTCAAAATTTCAAATGCAGCATGTAGATTTGGCTCCCTAATTTGTTCCCTCTACCAGGGGAAATTTCCACTGGTGGACTGTGAATAGAATCTGTCATCTGCATGTGGGAACCAGGCATCAATTCACGTCTTAATTAACCATTTTCACAGAGGGAGATGGATGATACAAACTTAAGAGGGAATGTGTGTTGAGAAAAAAATGTAAAATGGCTTCAAAAGGATTTAGACAGGCTCAGTGAATGGACAAATACATGGCAGATGGAATAACATATGGAAACGTGAGGCTATCCATTTTGGCAGGAGAAATCGATATGCAGATTATTTCTTAAATGAAAAGAAGTTGGAAATCGTAGATTTACTAAAGGAACTAGGAATCCTTCTCATTAAATCACTGAAAGCTAACATGCAGGTGCAGCAAGCTAATGTTAGGAAGCCTAATGGAATTTTAATCTTTCTTGCAAGAGGATTTGACTACACGACTAATGAAGTCTTGCTTCAGTTGTATACAAGATTGGTTGGACCATACCTGGTATACTGTATGCAGTTTTGGTCTTATCGCAGGAAAGATATTGTTGCCAGAGACAGAGTGCAACAAAGGTTAACTTAAACTTGTTCCTGAGATCGTAGGACCGTCCCATGAAGACAGATTGGGTAAATTAGAAATCAATGCAGGAAACAAATGCACAAATATTTAACTGCATCATTATCTCTTTCCTGGATGTTTCTCAATTGTCTCCAGTATCCTTGCATGGACCCCGTCATTATGGATTGCCATTTCTGTCATTATAAGCATTTTGGCATGTTATGATGTTCATTTTATAGAGTGAGGTTTAAAGGGCATGTATATGAATGTTGGTGAAAATTGAACAGCCATCACAGGCTCCTTTGGAGAAAACTAGCATGAAGTCCCACTCTGATCACACTCTCGTGTCCTTTTTGTACAGTGAGTATATGTGGATGTTGAGTGAGGGTAAAGTCCTTCTGATTTTCTCCCTGCTCACATTTAGTGTGCAGTTTCACAGGAAGAAAGCCCACTTCAACAGCATTTTGTGGGGTCTAACAGGGTTGATGCTTAAATAAGGTTACCAGATTCTGCAGAGTGAACAGACCTTTACAGTGGAGTCACAGTTCCGGGAAAAATTGTATCAATTAAAAGGTAGTTCTGGAATGCTCCCTGTGGAACGATGTCCCAGTATGAGTGACTGACTTCAGAAAAATGGGATGGGTTAATTATTGTATTAACTTCCTGGTCTTTTTAAACCCAACTATAATAAGTTTTATCAAAGTACAATGGTGAATCATTTTCTAATAAGACATCAGCATTTAATGTAGACGTGCCAACCCTTGCAAATATCTTAAAATTTATAGGAATGCTAGTTCTTTATTTAAATAATTTTCCAACACCTTTAGGGAGAATGAATTAGTGAAACAAAAGCATTATACTTACCAGCAAATACAACACTTGAAAACAATTATGATTAATCTAGCATGCTGTGCTGTGTAATAAAGGGATAACAACAAAAATTATGTCATTTTGTCATTGTGATCAGTAAGACAATAAAATTCTTTGTATATTTTTCACAATTCATTTTTTTTTGTATTACAGAATGGGCATTTGTTGCTTTAGTGCTCTCAGGATCTCTAATATTCCTCATCTTACTTGGTGTATGCTGGTGCCAGTGCTGTCCTCACACATGTTGTTGTTATGTCCGCTGCCCATGTTGTCCAGAGTCTTGCTGTTGCCCTCGAGCCTGTAAGTACACTTTTCCACAGTTCAGTTGGCAAGGGGGTTATTTCTAAGACTTTACTTCTTCTTTCCATTAGCTTTTAGGCTACTTCTGGGAGGCTTATTTAGTTAAAGATGCAAGGTTAACAGGATTTCTCATAAATTTCAGGAATTACACTCTGCAAGATTGTTTCTTCTTTGGTGCACCTATGTATGTGACTGTCTTTGAAAAGGATTTTATGGGATACAAACAAAAATATGAAAAAAAACTATGCACTGAACCCAAAAAGAAATAGTGTTTGTTGAGTAAAGCTACATAACAGTTAAAACACAGAAAAAAGTTAGCTTCCAGTACCTTCATTCTCATACCTTACAAGCTAAACAAAAGGCATTTTTGAGTGTAGTGTCATGTTAACACAAAGAAACCAAGTCATGGGATTTAGTAAACACCAGCTTAGACACAATGTAATTTCAAAAGTTGAAAAATGCCCCATCACTTGTTCAAAAGTATACAAAGCCAAATAAAGTATTAAAGTGACTTTAAAAATGATAAATTGAAATTGTGGAAGCTGTCCTCAGTTTACTTAGGCTACGAGTAACAAGAGGGTTGATTTCACACAAATAATCATTCGAGACCATGCAATGGTCAACAATTATTAGTCCTTTGTCAAACACGAAAAGAAAATCAATATTCCTGTATGGAACAAGGCCTTTATAAATGAGAAGAGAAATGTTCAATATTATTCTTCTTTCTTAACCAGTGTACGCAGCTGGGAAAGCAGTAAAAGCTGGACATCTTCCCAATGTTGCAGCCTATCCATCGTACTACATCCCTAGGGTACCCATATCACCAAGTGTAATTGATTCAAAGCCTCTGCCTCCAACTGCACGTGTGGACAATGATATGGGAGGATCTGGTAAGAAAACCTTTTCTCAAAACAAAAATCATTTTAAGGGCCTTCATAACCATGTTCGATATCAACAATATCAAATTGTGTATAGAAAGAAGCTCTTAAGTTTATTCTAGACAAAGCTCCAAACATAACTACATAATAACAGCTAGTAGTAATGATACAAACTGGTAAATAGAATTAATAATCTGCTTTTTTTCATTCATTAACCACACTTTCTTCCATTGTCCTGGGTTTTACTCAGTCATAACTCCTCCTTCTCATAGCCTAATGCCTCAGGATGGGTGAGTGGGTCTGCAGCTCCATCTTAGAGGTCCTCTTCCTGGCCTGCTGAAGTTCAGCAGCGGTCACAGATCACTGTTTGATGATTTTCCATATCCCACAATGGTGACACAGCAGCTAAGGCTGCCTTTTACCAGCTTAAATTTGAAAATCTTCTAAAGATTTTCATTTTGAAGCATCTTCTTGTTCAGCTGCCAGCCATGTCGTGTTGCTGCTGCTCCATTCAAGCTGGAGTGCCTGTTCTTAACCTGCATTGTAATTGGTCAATTCAGGGAAACTCACAGCTGAGTGATTGAGTACCACAAGGTTCAAACTTGTGGTACCCATTCACCCTGTCAGTGGAATTTAGGAGGCCACAGGAAAACTGTACACTGTGTTGCTGTTTGTTTTCAGACTTAAAATCTGGCACTCTGAAAATCACAATTGTCCAAAAGCTGGACATTTTTCTCTCGTTTTACTCTCCTGGAGCACAGTGAGCCTGGGCACAATAAAGTCATTTTAAGCTGATTCCAGAGAACAGAATCAGTGAGGATTGTGCACAAACATAGTGAGCATACAGGTTAGGAGCAGAGGTATGTAATTTGACTCCTTGAATCTGCTTTGCCGTTTACTAAAATCATGGCGCATCTGATTGTGACCCTGAACTTCACATCCCTGGTAACCTTTCATCCCTTTACTTACCAAGAATTTATTTACCCCATCTTAAAAATATTAAAACACTCTACTTCTACTTCCTCATGAGGAAGAGAGTTCCAAGGAGTTTTCGAAACATAGAAAAAAGGAGCAGGAGTAGCCTGTTCTACTATTCAACATGATCATGGCTGATTGTCCAAATCAGTATCCCGTTTCTGCTTTCTCCAATACCCTTTGATCCCTTTAGCCCCAAGAACCATATGTAACTCCTCCTTGAATTTTTTTTTTTAATTCCCTCATGGGACATGGGTGTTGCTGGCTGGGCCAGCACTTATTGCCCATCCCTAGTTCCCTTTGAGAAGGTGGCGGTGAGCTGCCTTCTTGAAGCTGCAGTCCACCTGCTGTAGGTACACCCACAATTCCTTTCAGGAGGGAATTTCAATGTTTCAACATTTCAATATTTCGTCTTCAAGCACTTTCTGTAAGCAGAGAATTCCACAGGCTAATTACACTCTGGATGAAGAAATTTCTCATCCTCTTAGTCCTAAATTGACGACACCATATCATTCGACTGTAACCCCTGATCCCGGACTACATGGTCATCAGGAATATCCTTCCTGTGTTTAGCCTTTCTAGCCCTGTTCAAATTTTATAGGTTTCCCAGAGATCCCCCCTCATCCTTCTAAACTCCAGGAATATTCCAGATGCAGTCTCACTTGTCCGCTGTATAATTTCTCTAGGCCTTTTGTTGGCAAATGCAATCAATAATATACCTGGAATTGAGTCTAGGCTTATGTTAAATCAGGTGATTGCTATAGGAATGATACAGTTATTCTCAGGACCCCCTTTGGAACACAAATTAAGCCAGAGTTCTCTCTATTGTATATCTGAGCTCTGGTATACAAATATCTGCCTTTGCAGGGAATTTCTTATGAGGAATTAATTTGTGGTGAGATTCTGATTATTATCAATCAATATCTGATTTTTTTATGTCATGAGAAAACAAAGTGCCAGCACTAATAGTCTTTTCACAGGAAAAATGTAGATACTAGTTCTTTCACTCTATATCAGAGTCTATCTCATGAAGTAACTGACAGTGCATCAGTACAATTCTCCATACCTTCAGGATTAGATTGTGACAAATGGGTTGTTAATGATTAGGAAGGTGATTACAATGTCTTTGTCTTTAAATGACAGCTTCTGTTTAATAAATGCTGCGGTGAGATGCCTCCTTGGCCCATTGGCCCATCTGATCAAGGTCCCATTGTACTCTGAGGTAACCTTCTTGGCTGTCCACTGCAATTCCAGTTTTGGTGTCATCTACAAACTTACCTCCTATGTTCACATCCAAACCATTAAATAAATGACGAAAAACAATGGACCCAGCACCGATCCTTATGGCACACCCCTGGTTACAGGCCTCCAGACTGAAAAGCAACCCTCCACCACCATCCTCTTGTCTCCTACCTTCGAGCCAGTTCTGCATCCAAATGGCTAGTTCTCCCTGTATTCCATGTGCTATCGCCTATTCTTACTGATTGCGGCCTATGGGTCAGAAAGTCGAGAATCTAGTTAGACGGGAGAGCCAAGACTAGATCTCAGAGTTTAGAGGTGAGTTTGTTTGGAATTATGGTGTTGAAGACAGAATTGTAGTTAATAAGCAGGAGCCAGATGTAGATATCCTTGTTATCCAGATGTTCCAGGGATGAGGGTAGGGCCAGGGAGATGGTGTCTGCTGTGGACCTGTTGCGCTGGTAAGCGAATTGCAAATGATCAAGACAATTTGGTAGGCTGGAGTTGATATAAGCCATGACTAACCTCTCACAGCATTTCATAATTATGTAGGTCAGAGCCACTGGGTGGACAACTTGAAATTAAGGCACATGAGTCCTGTGGTTGAGCAGTCAATCAGTCTTGCTCCCACATGCACCTAGACTCATGATAATTGGGAAGATTATATCTGAAAGAAAGGCTAGAGTTTTTCAAGTGTGCATGCACAGTTCTAAAATGGATGACCATATGCAGAACGTCATTTTAAAATATTCTGAGCCTTCTTGGGAGATTGTAAGTGAGGCTGATTTGACTCAAAGTGTCTCCTGTATGATAATAAGATATGGGTTGTTAAGCATGATGTCTTGTCTGTTGAGACAGAACCACCAGCTGTTAACAATTTGGACCCCTGTAACATTAAATCAGCTGTCATTGTGACAGTGACCTGAAAATGGGAGTGAGGTTAGGTTGAAGGAAAACACAATGAGTAGAAGCAAGCAATGGCCTGTAGTTTTAATTTGGAGCTGAGTAGATTATTCCTGGTCTTTGCAGCTCTACGTTGTATAAACTACAAATCATAGATTGATTTAACACAGTTATTCTTTTCTCATTTTTCTCTAGTACGAAGTGGCTACAGGATTCAAGCCAACAAAGAGCAAGACTCCATGAAGGTCCTTTATTATGTAGAAAAGGAACTGGCACAATTTGACCCCTCTCGGAGAAAATATGAACAATGTATGGGTGATTTGTAATAAGATAAACTTGAGGCATGTTTACTGTGGCTATTTTCTGTTAATATATTAGCTCAGCAAAAGCATTAACTTCATTAGAGACATTCAGCCTCCAACATACCATTTAAGTTCGCATTACCGTGATTAATTCAGCTTTTAGCAAAATAGCTATTTAAATTCACTTATGTTCTCTCTCTGTCAAAGACTATTAAAAGCATCCTATAAATCTACAGGATCTTTAAATACACCTGATCCACCCACCAATTTTAATTTGCAATATAGTTACGGTTAGATATGGTTGGTATTCTGTCCCCTCCTATCCCTAACTCCTGTATCACAGAATCATAGGGAGGTCACAGCACAGCCATCCTCTTTACTATCAAATGCCTACCCCATTTTTGTATGGTTTGCAAATTTCCCAATCATGACCCCTACATTTAAGTCAATACCATTCATTATATGCCAAAACCAAGGGACCCATAATTGCTATCTGTGCAACACCACTGGAAATAGCTTTCCATTTATAAAAACACCTCTCGACCATTAACCGTTTGCTTCCTGTCACTGAGCCAATTTTGGATCCAACTCACCACATTCCTCTGTATGTCATGAGTTTTAATTTTAATTAATCATCTGACATACGGAACTTCGTCAAATACCTTACTAAAATCCATGTAGACAATATTCACTGCATTATCCTCATAAATACTCATCACTTCCTCAAAAAGTTCAATTAATTTAGCAAAACATGATCTCCCCTTCACAAATCATGCTGATTTCTTCAATTAATCTAAACATCTCCATGAATCAATAATCCTGTCTCTCAATATTGATTCCAGTAATCTTCCCACTACAGAGGTCAGACTGACTGGCTTGTAAATATTTGGCCTATCCCTTGAATTGTTTTAGAATAATGGCACAACATTTAAGGATCTCTAACCCTCTGGTACTTTGTTTGTATCTAATGAGGATTGGAAAATGATCCTCAGAGCGTCCACTAGTTCCTCCCTTTTTTCCTTTAACATCCTAGGTCTTGGTATTTATCCCTCTTCAAGGTCAGTTCCTCCAATACTTTCCTTTTCATTATATTTTGTCTAATATTTACCTGGATCTTCAACTAGAATGTCTGTATCATCTCTCTCTGTGAAAGCAAAGACAAAATATTCATTTAGAACCCTACCTAATCTTCTGCATATATACATAAATTACCACATGCTTATCTAATAGGCTCAACATTTTCCTTCGTCATCCTTTTGCTCTTAATGTACTGAGAAAACATCTTTAGATTTTCCTTAGTTTTATCAGCCAATATTTTTCATTTCCTTCTTTGCTTTCCTAATTTACTTTTTCACTTCACCCCTGTATTTTCCATATTCCTCTAAGCTTCCTAATGTATTACTTTTGAGATTACCTTAAACTCTCTTTTTCTGCTTTACCTTGCATGCTTCTCGAAAACTGGAAGGATGGAGGCTCTGGATTTGGTTGTACAATTCCTTTTCATTGTGGCTTCAGAATCTCATTTCCAAATGCCTCCCAATGATTTGGCACTGATTTTCCTTCAAGTCCAGTACAGTTTTGATAGATTAACTCTTGGCTTTGTAAAGATTGCTTTCCCCCAATGTAGAAATTTTATTCCTGTTGTATTTTTGTCCCTTTCCATAATGATGTTAAACCCAACTATATTATGACCACTGTCTTCTAAGTGGTCAACCACTGCTACTTGATCCATATGCCTAGCTTTGTTTCCTGAGATTAAACCTCTCCCATTGGCCTTGTGACATGCTGGCTAAAAACATTCCCATGAATACAGCTCAAGAATGTTGTGTCCTCCATGTATTTCACACTGTTTGACTCCCAGTTGGCATTTGGGTAGTTGAAGTCCCCAACTATTATTGCCCTGATGTCTTTGCATTCAGACATTTGCCTACCTAATTGCTCTTCTAACTCTCTCTCTCACTATTTGGGATTCTATAGTAGTGTATCTGCCTCCTTTTTTGATTCAGTTCAACCCATATGATCTCATTTGATGCTTTGTTTAGTATGTCATCCCTCCTCACAACTGTGATTGATTCTGGAATCAATAATGCTGCACCCCGACCTTTTTTATCCCCTTCTCTGTCCCCCCTGAAAATATCCAGGCATGTTGAGTGATCATCCTTGGCCCTCTTTAAGCCAATGTTTGATTTTGGCTGTGATCTCATGCTGTCTTGTGTCTCTGTGCCCTTAGCTCATCAGCCTTTAATCACTATACTCTTTGCATTTATGTATCTACCTTTTAAGACTGCCAATTTTCTGTGCTGTAATTTTTAAACCTCTACTTCCTCTGTCTTTCAGAGTCACTTGTGAAGTTTCTTCCTCCTGTTCCTGCTGAATTTAATCTCAGGTTTCCAACCCCCTGATGATCGAGGTAGTTTGCAAGTGGTAGCTCCCTGCAAGAATATTTATCATGGTCCTGTTTAGGGACCATCTGATTTGTACAGGTCACATCTTCCCCAAAATCAGTTGCAATGCCCCAAAATCTGATATTTGCCCTTGTACGCCAGATTTTCAGCCATGTGTTCAATTCTTCAGTTCTCCTATTTCCATCTTCACCAGCATTGGGACTGGGAGTAATCCTGAGTTTGCTACTTTAGACGTCCTGCATTTCAATGTTCATCCTAGCACCCCGAAATCTGCTTTCACGATCTCAATCCCATTCCTACGCAAGTCACTGGCACTAATGTGGACTATGAACTCTGGTTGATCACTTTTTCCAGAACAATATCTTGCAGTTGCTTAATAACATACCTAACCCTGGCACTGTCCTGGAGTCAGATTAATAGTCACAGAAACACCGACCTGATGCTGTAGCCATGGTATCCCCTATTGCTATTGCTCCTCTATTTTTCTTCATGCACCTCCTGAATGGCTGAGTCACAACTTGGTTCTGGCTGGACTCTTCTGAGGAGTCTTTGCCCTCATGAGTAACTGAACTGGAATGCCAGTTAACAAGCCCAGTAGACTGAGGGCACTCCTGCACAGCCTGCATGGTTGACTTAGACTGCCTAGTGTTTAACAATTTCTTTGTTTTTACGCTAATATGCTTTATTCAAGACTCCACTCTCACTTTGTTTTCAATATCTCAGATTGCTCACCTCTCATGTTTTCAAGCTGTCAGATCAGTTCTCTCTCTAGAATGACATTGACATTGATGTTGACTTCTTGTCTTGTGGTCCCCATCTTGCCCACTCCTAAGGACCAAAGTCACTGATTACTGGTATTATGGTAGTGACTTATTTGCAAGTTCCATGGCAAAATGCAGGAATTTATATAACGCAATTTCCAAAATACACTGTATAAATAATTATTTGATTCATTCGATCATTGTAATCCATTGATATCTATAAAGCAGAGGCACTTAATTTCATCTGTCAATCAAAAACACAGAAGATAAACTAAATGTCACAATGATCAGATGACAAGTTTTGATCAGAATTTCAAAATTTGAAAATGAAATGAAACTTTGAAGAGTAGTGAAACCACAAAGAAGACAGGAGTAGACTTTAGGAGGACATGACACATGATAGAATGAGTGAATTGGCAAATGAAATTTAATACTGAAAGTTGCATGATGCTGCATTTTGATAAGAATGAGGAGAGACAATCCAGGCCAAATGGTGTAATAAAGAGAGCTCTGGGGGTATATAATGAAACATGTTTGAAGTATCAAGATAGGTTAATTAAGCAGTTAATAAAGCTAATATGTTGGAGTTATAGCTACCAAAAAAGGAAGATTGTTGAAATTGTTGGAGGTCAGTCATCTTAGTTGCAGGATATCTCACTGCAGGGGTTCCACATGGTCATGTTCTCTGCCCAACTACAAATGACCTTGCTTCAATTGTAAAACTAGTTCAAAACTAGGGGGCATATTTTTAAGGTGAGAGGAGAAAGTTTTAAAAAGGACATGAGAGGCAACTTTTTTGCACAGAGAATGGTTTGTGTGTGGAATGAACTGCCAGAGGAAGTGGTGGATGCAGGTAGAGTTACAATATTTAAAAGACATTTGGATAAGTACAAGAATTGGAAAGGTTTGGAGGGTTAAATGCAGGCAAGTGGGACTAGGTTAGTTGGGAACCGAAGGGTCTGTTTCTATGCTGTATAACTCTATGACTATGACTTGTCATACAAGATTGAATGGTGGCATGTGAAGGTTTTGAACTTACAATAAAAAGTCCTGATTTCATAGTGATCACTAGTCGTCTTGAAGGCCGTGACTAATGTAATTTAGCAAAATGGGCCCAACTCCGTGAATATAATGGGGGTTCTAAAATGCCAAACCCACAATGGAGGCGGCAAGGTAGGGAATGCTATTTATGGGCTTGCAAAATTCTACCTTTATCCCAAGCTGCCTGTCACTGTTCTGTCCATGGTCAGAGGCATGACAGTGCGCTTTAGAGTCCAAATGTGAAAGGGTAATGCCGAATAATAGTTCAACACAATATTTTGACTCAGTCTTCAGCTTTGCACCTAATTGTGGACACCACACTAGCAAGGATGTGAATTCTTTGGAGAGAGTACAAAAAAACGTTTACTACAAAGGTTTCAGGCAAGAGGCATTATAGTTGTGTGGATAGATTGGAAATGCTGTATTTTTTAACGGTTTGAACATGTTATGGCACACCTCAGAGGCCATTACATCCTGAGGTGCAACTTGACCTACTGGCACAGCCGCAGGAGCACTACCAATACATAAAAAGACTCTCCAGATGGTAACCAGGGGGCACAGATTTTAGATGATTGGCAAAAGAACTGGGAGTAACACAAAGAAAAATTCAACAAATCATTAAGATTTGTGGTGGAAACAAATTCAATTGTATTCTTCAAAATTAAGTTTGTTCTTACCCCCTCCTGGAAAATATAAAAATGGCTCGGTCTGAAAAGTCTGACTCATGCTGAAATATTTTTTGGCAAATGTGAACTGACGTCGACCGCTCAAAATTGTGCTGTCATTACTATATGGCTGTGACGTTTGTTTTTGGAGCAATCATATATCTGAAATATAGCCTTCAAGGGATTTTTTTTACGGCAAGATTTATTGTGAACAATAATCTGATACAATATTGCTGCTCCACAAGCAGACTGACATTGTGCAATAGCAGATGCTCAGCTGATGCCATTGCAGGGTTCAGTCAGAAACCATCTCCGTGGGAAAGGAAAAAGTTTTCCTCGACTTTCTGTTCAGCCTTTCTTTCCCTCTTCAAATGTAAATTAGCAGCTTTGATTTGCATTATAGTTTTGGATAAACCCTGGGCTGCTTCAGAGTGCTGCCAGTTTGTAATTGAAACTATCAGGGAAACGTTAGACAAAGAATATGAGTAAATATTTTCAACTTTTTTTATATATTACAGCCAGTAACATGTCGGAGCTGAGTTCACTTCACGATCAGGACAGTGATTTCCGCCAGACCTTTTCTCAGGCTCGAAAACAAGTGGTCCCTGCAATTACTGCCCAGGACAATGACTCAGCATTCAGGGGTCAGCTGACAAGAGGATCGGGACATTTCAAGAACAGAGAAAGACGAGATCACGAACGTTGCAGTAGCAGGTACAGCAATGAACTGTTCAGAGTTTGAAATAAATCATGAAAACATTTACATGTGTCTTCATAATAACCTGTACTATCTCACTGGAAGACTACAGGCCATTCATATTCTTACTGATTATAACATCATGACCTTTTTATTGCATTCAATTTTTAAAAATGTCATTGTTGGCTAGATGGTAAAGAAATATTATTGCATGTGTTTTAACAAATCAGGTAGTCAAAAAATACTAGGTGTAGATTTAAAAGTGTTGTTTAAGACTAATGCTTTCTTTAAAAAGTTATTTGAATAGTTAAACATTTGAAGGATAATTATAAACGCTATTCTTCCCTGTTTGATTAACTGTACATAATTTAGTAAAGCAGGGCAAAGAATAAACAGCACAGAATTGCCTAAAATATAACAGCACCATAATTAGTTTCCTGATTTAAATTTTCTACTGCGTAATTAATATATGAATTTTTTTAGTAGATGGTCTCCTGTGGCGACATCCACAGATGGTTTGGGATGTAGGGTGTGATGTTTCACATTTTCTCCCAATATTTAGTTTCCAAATATGTTTTTACCCATGGTAAGATCCTAGGAAAGGGATCCCAGTAGACAGGAAGGGTTGACATGGCCAAAATTTCAGACCTTAAAGGCTGAGACCATACTGTTAACAAGGGAGTTGCCAGATTTTCACCCAGTAATGTCCAAAATGGAAGGAATGTTGCTTTAGTTGGAATGAAGATGGCATCTGACTTGGTGGTGAAGATATTCCCATGCACTTAAACTCTTGCAGATTGTAAAATGCACAATAAATTCCAGTAGAAGTAGCTATCAGCTCTGAAGTAGTCCAAGTTTGTAAACAATGGGATAACGAGGATCAAAACTATGTAGCAGAAATTCCAACATTTACAGCAGAATTGTATCTGACTGGTTTATTTGACAAGGAAATGCAAATTATCGTTATGACACATGAAGCATTCAGGAATTGCTTGTTCATTTACTTTACTTTGGCAGAAGAGCTCAACAAACCTCAGAAAACACAGACTGATTACAGAAGGAGGCTGTTTAGACCTTTGGTGTATGTCAGCTCTCTGCAACAGCATATCATCTGGTCATACAGCCTATATTTTCCTTGTAGCCCTGCATTTCTTTTACCTTTTCAGGTGATTATCCAGTCCCCTGCTGAAGACTATGATTGAAACTGCCTCCACCATTCTTTAAGCAGTGCATTCCATAGGTAACCACTTGCTCCATGTAAAAACAAAAATCCTCATGCCACCTTTTATTCTTTTCACATTCATCTTAAACCGATGTTCTCTGGTTCTCAAATGTTCCACTAATGGGAACAGTTATTTGCTTTCTCTTCTGTCCAGACCTGTCATGATTTTGAACATCTCAGTCAGATCTCTCAACCTTCTCTTCTCCAAGGATGAGCCTAAGCTACTCCAATCTGTGTAACTGAAATCCTTCATCTTTGGAACCATTCTCATAAATCTTTTTTCCAACCTCTCTCTAATGGCTTCGCATCCTTAAAATTACATGGGCCCAAGAAATGGGCACAATACTCTAATTGAGATTAAGCCAGTGCTTTACCGTAACTTCCTTGCCTGGTACTCAATTCTTTGATTTTATAAAGCCTACTATCCCTTTTGCCTTATGAACAACTGCTTTTTCAGCCTGCTCTGTCACCTTCAATGTTTTATGCAAGTCCCCCTCTGCACCTGCACCATTTTTAGAATTGTATTTTTTCTCTCACCTAGTCCTCATTCTTCCTACGAAAATGTATTCATCATCGAATCCCTACAATGTGAAAACAGGCCCTTCGGCCCAACAAGTCCACACCAACCTTCAGAGCATCCCACCCAGACCCATCCTCCTATAACCCACCTAATTGAACACTATGGGCAATTTAGCATGGCCAATTCACCTAGCCTGCACATCTTTGGACTTTGGGAGGAACCGAAGCACCCGGAGGAAACCCACGCAGACAAGGGGAGAATGTGCAAACTCCACACAGACAGTTGCCTGAGGGTGGAATTGAACCCAGATCCCTGGTGCTGTGAGGCAGCAGTGCTAACCACTGTGCCACCGTGCCGCCAATTTGTTTCATATTTTCCTGTAATAAATTTAATCTGCTACATGCTCAACTGATTCACCAGCCTAAGTTATCTTGAACTGTATCACTATTCTCCACTTAGTTCATAATACTTTCAAGTTTTGTGTCATTGGTACAAGGTGAAATTGTGCCTTACATACCAAAGTACATTAATACAGATCAAGAAAAGCAGTGGTCCTAATCTTGACTCCAGGGAAATCCAACTATATATCTTCTACTAGTTTATAGTAACCAATTTATAATTCATGCTGACATGTTTTATTTTTTGAGCTTCACCTTGGTTGTCAAGCCTGTTAAGTGGCATTTCAACACAATCATTCTTTTCAATTCCATGTACATTACATCAACTGTATTATTGTCACCAGCCTCATTGTTATCTCATCAAATCATGTTAAACACAATTTGCCATTAACAAATCCATGCTGAATTTTTTTATTATTTTATGTTTGGTGAAGTGATTTTTTTTCTTACATCTGAAATCATGCAATCCAGTATTTCTTCAAAACTGAGATCAAGCTAACTGGCCTATAGTTTCTTGTTTTCACTTTCACTACTTTCTTGAACAGTGAGATCATGTTCACTATCTTTGAATCTATGGGGACAAGTCTAGAACCCGGGAAATTCTGCATGTTCAAAACCAACAAAACCATTATCTTACCATATCGGATCTGAGGGATCTTGTCAGCATTTAGTTCCGTTAATTTCATCAGTTCTAGTTCTTTAATAATTAGTATGACCAATTAGTAATTCTTTTGGCTTCCCAGTACCCTACATACATTTTGTGGCTTCTACGTGAACATGGACATAAAATAATTGCTTATGTTTGTCATTTCTTTATGCTGCATTATAGTTTCGTCTTTCTTTGCCTGTGAGGGACTCATAATTACTTTCGCTAATCTCTTCTGTTTTACAGTTTATTTTTATTTTCCAGCTAGTATCATCTCATATCCCACATATCAATTCCTGATCACACTTTACTAAATTTTAAAATCCTTTCAAATCTCGAGTTTACTATTCATTTTGGCAACATAAACTTGTTCCTTTAATCTAATAATGCCCTTACCTTCGTGTTAGCCAATAATGGACCATTATTCTCATGGGGTTTTTATTCCTCAGGGATATATAATTATTGTAAATTTGTTCAATGATATACTGATCTAGAAAACTGTTTAAATGCTTTCCATGAATTTGTTTTCCAGATTATTAGTTTTAGTGATTTCAGTTCCAAGGACTACAAGTATTTAATTTAAGTATTTAATTTGTGTTGTGCGACTTCTACGCACTCCATTTTCCAACATTCCAAAACAAAGATGGAACTGAAGTGTGCTCTAATATGAATACTGTACATGCTATTTGTTTAGCAAAGCTTTACTCAGAGTATGTTTTTTCTATGAACAAAGTGCACAGAAGTGAATGAACTCTAGTTGAAATAGGAACCTCATAAAACCAGATTTAATTTGGTTGAAATGCAGTAGAAAACCACAAAGATAATTTCACTTTTATTGCTCACTAGGTCACGGTCTCGATCTCGATCTTGTGAAAGACAAAGGATTGAATTCCATGACAAAGACCAAACAAGGTCACTGGATGAACTTGAACAATTTGCAGAATCATACCATTACAAGGGGAGGAGGGGTAATTCCCTAGAGCCTGAAAGGTGGGAGAGAAAAAGTACTGACAGAGGGGATTATTATAGAGCACTCAGAGACCGGTATCACTATCAAGATAGCTCTTTGGATGATTACTATAACAAAAGGAGTCGAAGCAGGAATGAGCGGTATGATACTGACCAGGGACATATTTATAATAGTCAAAGGAAGAGAGATAGGCAGGAAGAATATCCACTAAGGTGCACAAATGAGGGCATCAGAGCTTATGATGATGCTTTTATAAGCAATGCTTTGGAGAGAAAAGCCAAATGCAAATCTTACAATGAGAGCTATGGCAGTGAAACACCTTCCAAAACCAGCATCAAGCGAGGGAATGACCATTACTATGGGAAACCTCCAAGCTACAGGGCAGAAGAGGAAGAGACACTGCCTCCATACACTGAAATGCACTTGCAGAGGCTTAGGCCAGAAGAACTGGCAGGAAGAGCCTACTACCAGAAAATGGAATGCAGTCATGAGAGGAAAGAACAAACAAGGCAGAAGAAAGCTGTAAGTTCAATTATATTTTTAATAAAGAATTGTTTTGTTTTTACTTTCTTTGGACAGAACTGCATTAGCTGGATTTAAACTTAACTACGCTAGGCTAGTGATAACAAGGTGTAGAGCTAGATGAACATTCTAGGCTAGTGCCTTGTGCTTGCCAAGGAGCAGCTTGTCAACTATGGCAAACAGAGTATTTTCTCACTTCTGGCATCCACCTCAAAGCAACCTAAATTCTTTAGTATGTCACAGACACTAAAGCAGAGCATTGTACCTTTATCCAGTGATGTCCCTTTTGAGGATTCAAACCTCCCAGCCTGCAGTTCTTGGGATTGATGGATTCTAGAATTGATTGGCTTAAACTCACGAGCTGAACTGAAGTCTTGTCTGCAATTAAACCATTCCAGAATGCAATGAGAAATTTCTTGTGACAGATGTTCCCAGAGAGGGAATCGTTTACATTTTAATGGGGAAGTGCAGGAAAAATAACAAGAATACAAATCTCTATTATAAGAGGGCATATACCTGGCAGAGATATTTCGCTTATGTTTTTCATTACTTCTATGCTAAAAGGAAAGTTGCATTAAATTCGGGGAGACTGATGTTTGCATTCCACAGTAGTTTGCAGATTAAGACAATAGGAAGGAAAAGCATGCAGCATTTGTAACTAGCACACAATTCACAACCACCAGCTTTCCACCACCACTGACACTAAAACCAGTGAACCAGTTTTTATTAATGCTGATAATTAAGCAGAACTTTAAAAAAAATGCATTGTGTGTTTGTAATTATTTTTTAAATAAATTGGCTCCGTAATAATATTTTAAAAATAAATTAGCTCAATAGTAATATAATTTTTTAATGAAACGTTTATCAGACAGTACTTCAAAAATATTTACCAAAGAGAAAAATCTCTTTCTTAATATAGTCAATTTATAAAGGCTGATATGAATTCTGATTCATTGAAAACAAAAAGAATACATTGAAGGCTCTAAATTAAGCTCTTTATGCATTTTGGTCTGTGTCTGATGACAGCTGGCTCTGACTGCAGGAGTGCTACATTAGAAAGGAAATAGCACAGCTGCCACACAGAAGCAGAGCACCACCATTGGTGGTATTCAAAGGACTCCTATTGATTCAACAATGCTGGTTGCAGCAAAATATAAATGACAAGAACTGGTTACTCAAGCCTCTTATTTTCTCTAGCTTCAGACAGACTGTTTGTTCTACAGTCTAAACAAAGTGGGTTCTCTACCAAGAAAGTTACATTCAAGCAGATTTGGCCTGCAATCACATTTGATTCTACAAAAAGAACTGTTCCCATTAATGTGACTGATGAGTATGTAATATGTTGATTGAAAGTTTTACTCATTTTTAATAACTGTGATAAGAAATGTCAAATCAATGATATTTAAAATATTCACCATCTAATTTGCCCCATCACCTATATCTTTGGTTGTTGGACTAATATGTTTTTGCCCTACAGAATCATTTCCCAGCCAGAGATGCTCTTGTGGTGTGAAACTAAAAAGAATTAAGTGAAGATTCTGTTTCCAAGATGGTACTGCTTGACAAATGAGAAATGCCAAGGATTTCAGAATGTTGGGGACATCATCTGTTCTACATGGGAACTCTACAATATTTGATAAAATGGATTGCAAAACACTCGGAACTGACTACTACAGTTCCATATTTTAAAGTATTATGAGTCTCTGGGAGATTTGTCAGATTGGTTTACATGTACAGTATTAACGTGGTGGCTTTAGCACCTACCACAATTTATGTGATGGTTGATGACATTCTAGAACTTAGGAACAAAATTTTTGTTTTGGATTATCAATTCAATACAGCGGAGTGTGAACATTACCTTACCCATTTGGTCCAGACACTAGGTGGCATTATAAAATTTCAAATAAACCATAGAATCATGGAATTTTATAGTACAGAAAAAAAATCATGTAGCTAAACACCACGTATGCTTTTCCTCTAAAGGAACTATTTACTTAGTTACCTTCCTAAGTTCTTGAGCTATTTTCTTGTTTCAAATACTTATGCATCTTCCCTTTAAACACAGCTATGGGACCAGTTTTCCAACTATTACTGCTGTAGAATCCCATGCCTTAACCAATCCAAACAAATTATTTCCTTAACTCCCAGTTCTGTTGGTGATAAAATTAAATTTATGCCCTGCTCATTTACTGAACAGTACTGTTCTGGTTACTTTATTAATTATCCTCAACTTGAACATTGCTATTAAATATCTTTTTATAATTTTCTTTCTTCTAATGAAAACAGCCCAGTTTCTTAGTTTATCCTGAGACCTAACCATATACAATAAATTTTCATCTATTGAATTCTATGAATCAATGCCTAAACGTTCTCAATATCATTCAAGTCCAATGTTACGATCCTGGGCACTACACTCCTCCAATTCTGTTGCCACCTGCAATAATATTAACACCATAATTCATCCTCTTAGTGGCTTTCTCACCTCTTCTTGCTTTGATACTCCAGCATAAGAACATAAGAACTAGGAGCAGGAGTAGGCCATCTGGCCCCTCGAGCCTGCCCCGCCATTTAATAAGATCATGGCTGATCTTTTTGACACTCAGCTCCAGTTACCCGCCCACTCAGCATAACCCTTAATTCCTTTACTGTTCAAAAATTTATCTAGCCTTGCCTTAAAAATATTCAGTGAGGTAGCTTCAACCACTTCACTGGGCAGGGAATTCCACAGATTCACAACCCTTTGGGTGAAGAAGTTCCTCCTGACCTCAGTCCTACATCTGCTTCCCTTTATTTTGAGGCGATGCCCTCTAGTCCTAGTTTCACCTGCTAGCGGAAACAATCTCCCTGCCTCCACGTTATCTATTCCCTTCATAATCTTATATGTTTCTATAAGATCTCCCCTCATTCTTCTGAATTCTAATGAGTATAATCCCAGTCTACTCAGTCTCTCCTCATAATCCAACCCTCTCAACTCTGGAATCAACATGCTATATGCCCAATCTCATGCCCACAGTTACTTAATATAAATATCTCTCTGCTGCCTCTAATCAAGAGACTAAAATCCATTTATCTCTTTATCCAACACAACCCATGTCTGGACCACTTCCAGTTGCATTATTGTTCTCGCACTCTTCCCAAAACTTCCTTGGTGAGCAGAAACAACTTCTCAACCCTAACTTTATCTACAAACTTCAATATCTCTTGCTCTCACAATATCTCCTTGTTTGCATCCAAAATTGAGGGAATTCATTTAGCAGCCACTGATCCTCAATCTGGTATTCTAAACTTCCAGCTTCCAATTCTGCTATCCATTATTGCCCTAACCTAACTTTTCACTTTCTTTCCATATTCTTCCCAAAACCATGCCATCCCCATAAAACTGTGGATACCTTCTCTCTTTTTCAAGACCCTCAATGTCTGGCTACTGTCCAATCAATATGCAAAGATCTTATTCATCAAAATCTCAAATGACACATTTATGGCATAACTGTTACTCAACAGGTTTCCTGATTCTCCTTATCCCTACTTTATCTGATTCTAGTTTTTCTCCTCTGAAGCCCTCCTACAGGATACTGCAATCCTTTGGTTTCTTTTGATGTATTTAGAAGTCACAAAACACCAGGTTATAGTCGAATAGGTTTATTTGAAATCACAAGATTTCGGAGTGGTGCTCCTTCATCAGGTGAAGTGATGTAATTTTTGATATAATTAAGGCAATATATTTATGGCAGCAGCTGCTCCTGCTGCCCATCATCTCTGGTATATACAATCATTGGACTCCCCTCTTTTTACCCCATCTTCACCATACAGGCAAATGGGGTTATTTTCTTATATGCTGACAAGATGTATGCTAACTTGACCACTCAGTTCCCTTCCACTGGCCCATTACTTTCTTTTAAGACCTGAATGAACTAAAAGAACTGCAGCTAAATGTTAGCAAAACATAAGAAATCCTCTTAAAATTCCAGTCAGTACTTCTATGTTTCTGGCTTGGATCCTGTCAGTGTCTTTGGTCATGATTTTAAGCTCAGTCAATTTGACACTTGTTTGGTAATGATCTCACGTCCCTTCCCTCTTTACAGCAACTCCAAACCGTGGGGTTTCTTCTAACCCCACAACAAGCTTTCCTTTACACAAATAATCTTAAATCTTTCAATAGCTCTCAATAAAGTATAAAATCATTATAATAATTGATTTTAAGATACTATCCATTTAATGGAATTCGTTACAATAAACAATTACAAAATATTAAGTTTCTTTGGATTTTAAGGAAGTTATCTTCTGTCAATCTCAAAACATTGTGAATCTTTCCTAATTCTGTTGTCTTAAGGTTAGGCTCATTGAATATACAGATGTTTCTAATTAGACTCACTATATGTGGTAATCCAACATCATAGACAATTCATTTATAATGTGTATTTTGTGAATTAGTAAAATGCCCCATTACCATTTTCTCCATACATCTCTTGCCTCAGGTCTATTCAAGAGAAACAGTAAAGGAGCAGTCTGGTGGTGAGGATGAATGTCTAAGGGTTGAACATAGTACTTGAAGCTACCTGATAAAATCTTCGTTAAACCAAATTTTATTTAACTTTACATTTTATCAAATCTGTTTCCTTATTTCATGCAGGGTAAATGTGACAGCAGATATTTTCTGTAAATAGTAGATCCTGATTTGATTTGGATTAATTATTTGTATGCCAATTGTTTTCCCAGTGTTCCTCATTTCCCCCCCCCCACCCCCCTACATGTCCCTCCAGGGCCTTACTTATTTTGCAGTCAAGTAGCAGGTTTCGTAGCTTATTTGCTGCATTGCCCAAACAGATTCCCATATAAATTTTACACCCCTTCGCTTAGCTGAGATTCAGAGCACACTGAAGTAGATATAAAATGTTTCCTGACACTCAGACATGATGCACTCAAAGGCTTAAAGGTTTTTCCTTTTAATCTGAATAAGATACCAACAGAAGTAACCTATTGTTCCAAGCTGTATGCAAGAGCTTTTACAACTTAACAATGTTTTCAATCAATCATCTTTAGTGGCTACTCTCTGATTTCATTACAGACAAAATTCTTGCAATCTCAGATTCATAAAATCTAAAATGCCCAATTTACAATATGTCAATAAAGTTTCTACTTAAATCTGGTTGGTAATTTGAGGTAAGAGTAGCCTGGATTGAATTTTAGGAGTAGACTAGTACTTTATAAAATGAACAGATTAGCTATGGTATTTATTTGGAGCCTAGTATTTTCTTTCTTGTGATTAGTATTGGATAGATTGATTAAAATGGAACAGTTGGAGGTATGATAATCACACTCCACTATAAAATGGGGCTAATTCCAATGACAATCTTAGAGAAGCAAAAAAAAAATCAGCAATACAAACTATCAGATCTGTCTCCTACATGTTCATATATGCCAATCTTTCTCACAACAAGAATTGAACATTTGCAATCAATGGACAGGAAAAGACCCACTGGTCTACCCAGTTTGTCCCACACAACTGCAATGCCTTGTGCATTACAATATAAAGACTCCCACCTCACCCAAGAACCATGTAACTTTCTGGGAGAGGCCATATATATATAATTAACATGTTCAAGGATGGGTCTATTAGAGTGCCTGTCTAGTATTAATTCCACCTTCTGTCATTGGTGATGTAAAAAAATGGCTGTAATTTCCTGTAGTTGTTATCTGAGAATCGTGTTGTTATATCTGGTGACTTATTTTATCCATCTGACAGTAGTAGTAGATTTAAAACATTGTCAGGTACTTGATATTTAGTCAGGTATTTAATATTTTACTAACTATTGTATTAATTTTCACCACTTTCTGAATGCTAGTAAGAGAATATCATTATTGTTTTAGAAGAGGTTGGCTGACTGTCATTCCGAACCTCTTCTAGATTTCCTCTTTGACGTACACTGATAAGAAAATAAGACTATTTGCATTAGCAACATTTTATGTATGTATTTCTCTCTGAATACCTCTTATGATTGTACCTACTGTGTGATACTGGCAGCCAAAGTTTTACAATGTTCATTTTATTATTGTTGTTTTGGAAGAAAAATAGATGGTATAAAAGCAAAATAGTAGCATTTTTGGTTAATTTGGTTGACCTGGTAACTAGGAAAATGGAGGGCTGCCTGTATCTCAGTACTGCATTGGAAGGAAACCATTTCTGCCTATGTAGTCTGTATGGAATAACCTACTAGTTAGTCAAACACAACACAATGGGCCTTATTTAATATTTTGCTTGCTGCCAGCATGATCTTCAAATGATTTCAAAACTGCTTGAAACAGAATTGGAAATTCTGAATGGGTGTAACATTCTCCTCCAAAATGTATTAAAGTCACACGTTATACCATCTCAATAAGAAAACCCATCACAAAAGTGTCAACATTTATGTACACCAGTTACAACCATATGTGATACTGTGAAAGCGTTCCTCAATGTTAATTTTCACACAGTGTTAGCGGATAAAGGAATAGCTCCTGAGCTACGTATTGAGAGTTAACACCAAACAATTTAGTTCAGTTTGTGTAGTTTCTGTTCTGGCCTGATCATTGAAATGCACTACAAAACAGCCTTTTTTCTTTAAGCCACTGTTGTTCCAAACACAATCATGTTGGTAATAGTGAGAAAAGGTACATTTTGAATGTTAAGACATTAAAATAATTCATAGGAAAGCTTTTCTTTGGCACCTTGCAGTTCTCCTGAATTTTGCCCACTTTGCCTGCAGTATGTATCTTTTCAGAAGTGTGCCACATCTAGTTTCTGCAAATGGTCACTGACTGATATGCCTTTCTCATTAATCAATAACCAAACAGTCATTGCCCTTAACGCCCTCACATATAAAACTGCCAGCCTACTGCCATTCACATGACCTTACTGCCATCCCTTAAGGCCCAGAAAAAAAATTAATTTTGTCTCCATACACTGGTGGGTTCCGTGGTCTGCTTGAAAATTGCCCTCCCAGCCATCTCTTTCTGCACTGAGTGATACAGCATCACTTGCCCATTGTTACCTGCCTTCCATGAACACCCATCCAAGCAAACATCTGCTGCCCATCATCATTGAAGTACCTACCCACACTTTAGGCACAATCTTACAGGGTGCCATGGTCACTGTATTACCCTGCCGTCTGACACTGGCTGAAAGGTCAGTT